ACTTAGCGGCCACACTCAGTCCGAACTGCACTTAACAACGACAATTAATCTCTTGGACGTAGCACTGCTCCGTCCGTGCTTCACTCGAGGCCTCTCCGCGCACTACCCACCGTCGCTCGCTCCGCCGTTTCCCCTCCGATTTGACCGTTGGTGGCGGCGGCGGCGGCGGCGGCGGCGTTACTGACTGATCAACTCCAATACTTTATTTTAATTTTAATTAGTGATCAATTTTAATTGTTCTAATACAGAAACGTTCTTTGTTTCAATATATATATATATACACACACTTGTTTCTTATTTTGAGAAGAAATATAATAATAATAATAATAATAATAATAATAATAATAATAATAATAATAATAATAAAGCGAACAATAATATTATAAGCTGAGCTAATAATATATATTAATAAATTGGTGAACTTAAGTTCAGTATAATACAACGCCAATGTTCAGCGTTATAGAGAATATCCCTTATTAATAAATCCACTCTCAATTATATTTTGCTTTTGAACGTTATTTTTTTAGAAATTAAACAGTTTTGTGCCTAAAATGTAGAAATAGAGGTAAAGGTGGTAATTAGAGCCATTTCTGAAACATGACCCTCCTTGGTATCTTTTCATTCACTGCAAACATTCTAGCAGAAACGCTTTGAACAACTAGTTTAATAACTTCTTTTGCCATCATAGCTCTATGGTTCAGTTGTAAATGAGAGGTGATGTGAAACAAAGGTACTCGCGTTTTCTCGGTTCGATAATCTTTGGAAGGTAAGTCTTTGGCTTTTTTATTTATTTACGTCCAAACAGTTAAAAACTGTGTGATGTGCTATTGATAGAAGTTAATTTGAAGTTATATTTATGTTCAGATGCAAAACAAGAGGCCATCTTAGCATTTATTCAAAGATCAGGTAAACTGGACGAAAACCTGACGTAGATGTGGCTCATTGACCCAGAAACTTAAGGACAATACTTGTTATAGGTTCTTTAGATTTATACATTCCAAGTGGTAAATAACTCTATTATTTACTAGGCTGTCCGGATGACGCCGCGTCCATGGCGAAGGTGCCAATTGCACCTTCGCCATGGACGCGGCGTCACCCGGACAGCCTTGTAAATACTGACTCCGGCCGCGGAAGCCTACGCCCTCACTGGTAAATAACTCATTAAATGTCTTTGTTAAAATTAATATTACTTTCCTTTTGAATGCTCGGTATAGCCTCTAATTGTATAGAAACAGTTGAGCAGCAGAAAAGATTTTACTTGGGACTTAAGCTTTTGTAACAAATTTAATCGTTTAAATGCCATTTTCTTAAAAAAAGCTCCAAATTTTTCAATTAAAATCGCCATCACAAGGGTTTACTGCTTTTTAATATTCTTAAAATAATATTTCGGTTATACTATTTTTAAACAGAAAAATTGAGAAAATGTTTTAAAAACGTACTTTGGGCGGCGATAGATAGCAGCTTTCAAGAGAATGTAGCAAGATAGAATAGCTAGCTCAGACCAAAGGAAGTAGAAAACTAATACGGGTAAACCGATGCCTTTCTGTAGCACCTGTAGTTTTCTCCCTTTTTTGTACCTCGTTTGTTTGAAACCGTTATTGGAAAATAGATTGAGAAGACCGGAATACAGCGTGGAGATATCTACGTTCTAGCCACACGTACCCCTTAAACCATAGCCGCGAGGCAGGGACGTCGCAAGTAGGCCTCAGCCTGATCACGGGCTACCGCGCCAAGTACATACTAAAGGAAAAGGAAAACTAAAACGGGAAAGTCTGTACAATTTTGTAGCACCGCTAGGTTTGAAATAACACCTTTCCCAGTGTAGAGTTGGAAAGCTAGCATATAAGACTGTCATAGCTGTCGTATAGTCACTAGAACAAAGAGCCTAATTCTTGAAGCCAAGGCGAATGGGCTTGCCTCATAAATTGCATCGAATATACACGGTCCAAATGCGTGTAATTAATTCATAGAAATACATTTATTAATTTAAATTAAGAGAATAACTTTTTGAACTAATGGGTTAATCCAACGAGCTCAAATATACTACATAGAATGGCTGACTATGGCTTCGGCTCTCTCGGTGAACGCTCGTAGAACTAGGGACTGCCATGTTTTGCAGTCAAAACATGAGGTGGTTGATGGTGGCGCGTAGAACTGTTGAACTGAATGGAATTGCTTGTATTCGATCTTATTTCTATATTGTTATCTTTTCGTTTATATGTATTTAAATTAGATTACTGGTTAGAATAATAATATTCGCAATGCCTTCAGTACGTTCGGCTTATAAGTGTAAAAATATAAATAATCAAACCACAAATAATTTTTTAGTTTTCCACCTTATTGGAGGTCTGTTTGTTTTTCAAGTTTCTCAATTCGTTCTCCTTACATATTGTAATTTCGTTTTTAAATGATTAGTTATCGGTTGTGAAACACAAGAGGATTTATAATACGCATGGCCCGCGCCAACGCCATCTAGAGAGCGCTGCCCGCGCCCACCTGGCCTACCAGCGCCAAATGGAAGTCTACAACACACTATTTTTCCCGAGGGCGCTGCTTTGACCGCAAAAAAATGCTTCAATTAGCTGCAAAGATGGAGGCGCTTCAGCCACTCTAAACAATCAAAAAAATTGTAGCCATTTTTGAGAAAATTTTTCAAATGTTCATGCTTATCATACTCATCTTAAAAAATAAAAATATTAACCAACTCGCGACCTCAAGGTCGTTCAGATCGATCGGGGAACATCAAGTCTACGATGGTATCAATTCACGGTGTATTTAATTCAATTTATCAATAAGGAATGGTGGATCAAATCATCAATTTGAAGAAAATAGACTGAATGGGCGTTAGCGTTAGCCACAACGGACGGTCGCCCAGGGTTTTTTGCGCAATATTCTTCATTGGTTTTTAGCAATGGAAAAATAAATTTTTCCCCGTTATTGTGGCAGCATTGCACTTTGCTGCTCAAGTGTTTTGAACTGTTTTGTGTGTGCGGGATGGCGCACGTGTTTGATGAACTTGTGTTAGGTTAAGGTGTCTGCATGCTGCTTTAGTTTGGGTGTTGTCGGTGTAAGATAATTTTTGTAATATTGTACTTCAGAAAGTGAATTAAACAGATCCGTTTCGAAGAATGGGGCGACGAGGAAGTAAGAAAGTAAGTGGATATTACTTTGTCAGGATTGTGTGCTTTCCGAATGCCATGTCATTCAAATTTATTTTTTATAGGGAAGATGCAGGAAAAGGAATAAGGCCACTGCTGATCCCAATAATGTTGAACCTGAGGAAGTGAAAAGAGCACCTCACTCATTTGTATTTCATCGAGGTCTGGCTGGACCATATGTTCTGGAACTAGTACGAGATTTTAGAAAGGTTATGGAACCGTACACAGCATCATCTTTGAAAGTAAACATAATTATTTATGCCTATTTATGATGTTTTCTCATGGAACTTTTAATGAATGTAATGTAAAAATTAATCAATGTTTTTTTCTGATCAGGTTATGAAGAAGAATTCTTTTAAAGACTTCGTGTCAGTTGCTGGTTTTCTGCACGTCACTCACTTCTGTATGTTTACTCGCACTGACCTGGGTGTATATTTGAGAATTGCCCGTATTCCTCGAGGTCCAACATTAAGTTTCAGAGTGCATAATTATACTTTGGCTAGAGATGTCATTTCTGCGATGAAGAAACAATACGTCTTTAGCAAACAATTTGATCATCATCCTTTGGTTGTTCTCAATGGATTTTCTGGAGAAGGAATGCATATAAAACTATTGGCTACAACTTTCCAAAATATGTTTCCGTCAATCAACTTAATTAAGGTAATTGGCAAAAGTATTGTAACATGTTGTATTGTTAGTAACATTGACAGCAAGTAGCATTGAAAGATATGTCTTCGTATATGTGTTAAGTACTTCAAGATTTAAAGACAACCATATAGTTAGTACAAGTGTTAATGTGTAATGAAATCAATGGCATATTTTTAGAAATTAATCCTCCCAATGCCTATGTGGCTGCAGTAGATTATTGAGGATGTGTGGGGAATAAAATGTTTAAGTACCTGAAATTTTATAAGTAATTGTTGTGAATTGATTCCTTGTACTGGCGTTTCTGTCATTTGACTAGTGAAATGAAGTAAATACCTTCGTATTTAATAAATATCACCCGTGGTTTTTGTTATTGATATTGCACAATTTTATTGTTACATTTTAATTATTAAGTTTATTAGATCCCTTTCATAATAAACTTTTTTTACTGATTCTAATATACGAAAAATGAATTTCCTTATGAATACTCTTACAATTTACCATATGAAATCAACTGTGTTGGCATTTCTAATTGTGAAGATAACCAATTTGCCTTGACCTGATCCCTTAGCAGGACTCATTACAGCAAGGGAATTGATTTGTAGCTACTCGAAGGGAAGCGAGTGGTAGGTTTGTTGATGTTTGTGTAGACTTGTATTCTGTGCAAGGAAGTGCTTCCTGTGGTAAACAAAAGATTTTGCACTGAAATATATTTCAGTATTACTAAGTATGTCTATTAAGAGTAGGTGGAAGTTTTGTTCTAATAAATAAGTCTCATTTATTGCATCACACCTTTGCCTTTTTTTTGGTAAGTGCATTTTGAAAAAAGAATGAACTGATGATTTGTAATCTACTTACTGGTGTTGTGTAAAGTAAACATTAGTGTGCTCTGTTTTAGAAATATGAATACTACTATTCCCATTTGTTTGCGAAGTGGCCATTGCAATACTGAGGTTCCAGGATTTAGGATAGTTTATAATTGATTGAATTTTACGATCAGTTCAGCTGTTTCTCGTTCTTCTATTTAAAATTAAATAATTATATCAAATTTGAAATATTAACTATTTAAATGTAAATTTCAAATTTGTTTTAATTTTCAGGTAGATCTGAGCCAAGTGCGACGTTGTGTACTTCTGAATTATGATTCTTCTAAAAACTTAGTTGATTTTCGGCACTTTGCTATTAAAGTTGTGCCTACTGGAATATCCAAAAGTGTGAAGAAAATCGTACAAAGCAAAGTCCCAAACCTCAGCCATTACCAGGAAATATCTCAGTTTTTGACAAAGTAAATATCTGATATTCAAAATTTATATTGGTAAAATGAACATTATTAATTTATTAAGAGTTTTTTTTTCTTTTTCAGCCCTACACAATTGTCTGAAAGTGAAGCTGAGGACGATCCCAACAGTCATGTTGTTTTACCACAAAAACTAGCTTCTCGTGGTAACACAGCTTCCAGTACCTCAGCTATTCGTGTTGTTGAATTAGGTCCAAGATTAACTCTTGAGGTATATTTTAAAACATAAGCAACTCTGTAATATTTTATAAGTTGTATATAGTTGCATCATTTGTAAGAGGAACAGTCAGAAAATGGTTAGGGTTGGGCCTTCGGCCCTCGGGTTCACTATAAACATTCTTGAGTCTATCCACCGCATAATTACCAATTCAGTTTTATAAGAAAGCCTCCAGAATTCAATCTGTGCAGTTATCGCCAGAGCTGTGCAAAGTGTTGATTTAAACTACTTCCGTAAGTTCTACCATGTACTAGACGTCAGCCGAAATAGTATATGGGTATACTTAATCTGAAGGTAATATTTTGCAGATTATGTAGTCTCCAAAGCTTAGATTTGGTGTCCTAGGTTGAGAAAGGATTTTGGCAGATAGTTACAGTGGTAATGTAATAAAATATGTGCAATGTAAACAAATACCTTAATTTCTACAAAGAATATTTATTATTACTATCATACAGAAGATTTTAACTCCTTTGTAAATGATTAGGATGTTGAAGACAGAATGTACTGTTACATTCTTTATGGTTTCAACATTCTTAGGGTAATTAACATGAACTGAATATGTGTACTTCCTTCTCAAGGCGGTTCATCCTTGAGAAGCGTGATGGGAGAGGGGGTAGTCTCCCTCAAATTACACTAAACACTCTGAAGCGAAATTAATAAAACTTACTGACAGTCAACTTCCACATGTTCTAAAGTTTGGAGATGCCCTCAAGAAACAAAACCCCCTCAATTGATATTTTTGCCTCCTTCTTGCAAATCACGATCCTTTCTGCACAGAACTCTTACGTGTATGAGGAGGGACCCCTTTCTTACTGCACTTCTACTCGAAACAATTGCACTGCTTCTGTCGCTTAGCTAACCTTATTGGATACTTACATGCGGGACATGTACATCCTGTTCTAACTAAGATCTAACCATGTTCATGCACCCACTCAATCACATCAAAACACCCCTTTTGCTGCATTGTGTAAAAAACCCCATATTTATTCTTCCCATCATAGCACAAACACGTAGCACTCAAAAAACATAAATCGCAATCAGAAGAGCGCAAGAAACGTAAAGGTATGAAAACAACTTAGCTAACCACTTCGACAGCTACCCCGACACAAAATTGTAGGTGCCCACCTCCACAATTACAGCACTATTTGTTAATGTAACTCCGACAAGATGCTTGGGTTAAATTACTTAAGATGTCACATTCGTGACTGGTTACAAACCCATACACCATTATTTGTGTAGTATAATTTTTATAATTTCTTTAGATTGATTAGATTTTCACCAGTAAGGTTGCACCATGCATGTGCTCTCGCTTTGTGTATGCCTTTTTCCAAAGAGAAAATTTTATTTAGAGGAAAGTAGCTGTTTTTATTATAGATCTGCTTAATCCCTAGTGTTTGGTCTGATTTCTTGTGATTTATTTTTTACAGCTGTTAAAAGTTGAAGCAGACCTTGTTGGTGGGGAGGTTCTATACCACAGTTATATTGAAAAAACAGAAGAAGAAGTACAGGAAATTCGAAAGAGACTTAAAACAAAACGGTATGGTATTTTAATTTAAAATTCGTTTAAAATTTTATTTCCTCATTTTTATCTGTGAATTTATTATATTTCAGTCAGTTGAAAGAGAAAAGAAAAAAGGAGCAGAAAGAAAATATTAAAAAGAAAGAACAGGAACGGCAAAACATGAAAGAGAAGTCTCTTGCAGGGATGAAAATGAAATTTGAAGAAAAATCTGGGGATAAAGATTCGGAAAAATCAAGAGAAAGTTATGTGAAGAGTACAGCCATTGAGGGTGATGAAGAGGAGGAGGAGGAGGATGATGATGCACAGTGGTACAGAGAAGAAGTGGGAAAAGATCCAGAACCAGGTGGGTATCACTTTGCTGCATTGAAATGGTTTCTATTGCAAAACCAGCAAAGTTAGCTCAGCGCCAGCATTATTAGTCACCGCAATGACTAGGACGGGTGATTCTAGGGTTGAAGTCCTGATGGTGGCAGATTTTTCGAAACTAGCTAGGCCTAATTCAGTTGTAGATGGGAGGAGAATTCTAGTGACCATCCATGCTGATCAGTAGTTTTCTGTACTACCTGTAATCAATACCAGGTGAATTCCAGAGTAGTACAGTAACAAATTGGACTACTGATCACATGCAATCTGTTTTTCCCCTTTTTATCCTATTTTCTCCCTTTGCATACACACACACACAAGTGCACTACACTACAATGCATGTCAGGAGACCAATTGGGAGCTTTGAGCTTGCTCCAGACATGTAATTGTCATTGGATCTCATAATCCAGTACGGCAGGAACACTGACAGCTTTCAGGATAAAAAATATTCACTGCTCCAATGGAACTAATTGTCATAGCAGATGATGTGGTAGGAAACTTAAGTCAATTAATCTGACTACAATGCTAAAATGGAGGGTAAAGTTACTGGAGAGTTTGTGTGCAAGGTTTCCTTCTTATAATCCATTCTTAAGGCCTTAACAGTTTGGCAGATCGACACACATGAGGTATGGTTGATATCAAGAGGGAACTTATAATCTAAGATCTATCATAAACTGTTACTAAAATTATTGTAGTTATCCGAATAAAAG